AAGGTTACGCGCGAATCGTCCGCAACCGATTTAGCTAGCCGTCGCTCGCGTACACACAGGGTGATTTATCACTTGTTTAAGATCATTGTTAAAGATGAGGAAACATATACTTGAATTGGTCACTAACAGTTAAGATTCCACAATGTTTAAAAATATCATTGTCCTTCAATTGACATCCAATTTTACTTGGTACAATGTGTTTTAGAAGATTTACTTATATTTATGAACATGTTACAGGTACGACCATACCTACAAAAGCAAGTTCAAGTTCGGCGCGCGAACACTCCGCGAGCAGTTGTGATTTTGTTGTTTGAGTTCGTATACGCACAATAGGATGTCAAAAGGATGATATCGTGCGGTGTAAAGGATCTTGTGGATCAGACTTTCATAAAATGTGCTTAAAAATATTAAGCAATTTATGCAATAAGGATTATGTGAAATCTATACAAATAATGAGAGGTCGAAGCAAACCAGTAGCGGAACCTTGAAAAGCAATTTAAATGAATCAGAAATTAATTTTGGGGAGATTCTTCAAGAGATAAATAAAAAATTGGAGGTTGTTTACACAATGAAGAAAACTTTAGAGGACATATATGATACGGTTGATTTCTATGCTGAGCAATACCAGAAACTTATAGAATTTAAAGAAATTACCGAAAAGAAAATGATCGCTTTGGAGCAAAAAAATGTGTATTTGGAGAAATGTAACGGAGCCTTATAGGAACGTATATATTAATAGGAGGAAAAGTCTTGAGAGAAATATAGAAATTGTGGGAGTTGAGATGAAGGGTAACGAAAACATTCATACAGTGGTGGTTAAAATAGCGCAAATAGTAAAGGTCAATCATAGCGATATTGAATCTGCAAGGAGGGTAGGCCGAGAAAAGATAGCGGAGAACAAATACCAACCAGTAGTTGTTACCCTCAAACGCAAAAGTATGAGAGAACATTTTGGTTATGATCACTTAAATTAGTAATTACAAACGACAGTATTTACATGAACCAAAGTAATAGACGTATTTATATTAATGAGAATCTCACAAAATATAAGCGACAATTATTGTGGAATACTAAAATGAGATTGAAGGATGTTTACAAGTACATTTGGATCCAAAACTCCAATATATTAGTCGGAGGCGGCAACTATGATAGTAACATATACAAGATCGAATCAGAAAAGGACATAGACAAGTTGCTAAAAAACGAGACTGCAACTTCCAACAACTGATTAAGCACAAATCGGTGCGCGCACACACTGTGAGATTAAACTCCACTAGTTAAGATGCATCGTAATGATGATATTTATAATTTTAATGCTCAGTATAATAGGTATTCAGATTTTCGAAGCTGGCAAAAGAATGGGAATATTAATAACGAATAGTTGCATGTCCTGTTTTTAAATATACGTTCTATGAGAAAACATTTTAGTGAGTTAACGATTATATTACAAAATGGCTACTATCACATTCTTCATTGTAACAGAAGTTAATGTTATTGAAATAAATCTGTATAAAATATAGGGGTAAAATACGTGGAGCAATACTAGGAAAAATCAAAGGGGCGGTGGTTTAATTATATATATAAGTGAGAGTTTAGATGCAGAGGTCAATTTTTAATTAGTAACTTTTCAGAAAATATGTTTATTACGTTTAACATAAACAGCGTGACCTTACACGTATTAGCCGCTTACAGACCTCCTTGTAAAAACAAGCTGTTATTTATTGAAGAACTCTCTGCGAGTAACGATCTGATTTTCAGTGGTGATATCAATTTTGATTTGTTCGAAAACAAATTAAACTCAGCCACAACTCGTTACAAAAACACGCTGTGTGAATGAGATCTCCAGATATCAATACCGTGCAGTGAGATAACGTGGGAAGCGGATGTCGATGGCGTGAATCAGCGGTCGTGCATTGATCATGCGCGTGCGCGACCGAGACAATTCACCAGTTACTCTTCGTTTATAATTGATTGTCATTTGTCAGACCACCATACGATCGGAATTTCATTGCAAGTGATGCAACACAATGACTACGAATTGTTTACAAACAATGAAGTGAGTAGTAAGATAATAGTCAATAATAAATTAGCTAAAGAAAAATGAGAAAAAAATGATTGGTCAGCTTTACTGTTGTTTTCGTGTCCGTTACAAAAATAGGAAATTAAGTGATATTTTTGGTGCAATTTATAAGGAAAGTGACATTGTAGTACCATTAAAACGTAAAAGAATAACGCAAGCATGGGTATGTAATAAGTTATCTAATATGATATTACATCGAGATATTCTATTTAGACCTTGGAAATTAAATCCAAACAGTATGTGTACTCATTTAGAATATACGCGTTACCGAAATAAACTAAATAAATTTATAAATAAGGCTAAGAATAGGTATAGAGAGGAGGTAATTAAGAGAAGTAAGGGTGACATTAGAAAAATATGGTCTAATGTTAGTTGTTGGCTAGGGAGAAGTAAGGCTAATGTTAACAAAATAATTATGAAGTATTTAGGTAAAGAAGATAATATATATTATGTATGTACATAGTTTTCAAAAATATTTACGAGCGAAATGTTAAGCATCAAACATAATTGTTGTACACATTTTTTTGAAAGAAGCCCATATGTTAATCCTTCTAATGCTTCGTTTAGATATAATAAACTCACTTGTACTACGGTTGAAAAATATGTTGATAGTTTTAGTATGGAAAAACGCCTGGCATTGATAGAATACGTGTACAAGACTTTAAATATATAAAGAAAGCAATTAGCCCAGTACTTGCGTTTTTCGTCAATTTATGCTTAAGTCATGGGGTGTACCCGAATGAATTAAAAAAATCGATAATCCGATCAATTTTTAAGCAAGGTAGTCATTATGATTACTCAAATTGCACTTTTGTCAATAATTAATAAGTTGGTTGAGAAAATTGTAGTTGGCCAATTCAGTTCATTTTTGGAAGAACATGGTGTTTTATCAGATGCGCAGTATGGACTTCGACCTGGCCGAGTCACCTCCGCGGTATTGGCGAACTTTACGGATGATGTTAACAATTGTCGTGATGCCGGAAACCAAGTAGTGTCTATATTTATTGATTTTAAACAGGCGTTTGACACCTTAGACAATGACGTTCTGTTGAAAGCCATGCAGGAATGCGGTATTCGTGGTCCAACATATAGCTGGTTTCGCGATTACTTAAAGAATAGAACATTTCGCACTATTCTCGGTGACTTGGAGGGTGACGAGTGTGAGGTCGTAATGGGCGTCCCTACTGGCTCCGTGTACGGCCCAATGGGCTATATCACGCACGTAAACAGCGTACCTAATGTGGTCAAATATTATCGCGTGTATATATGCTGATGACATGTGCCTATTTTATTCATCAAATGACATTACGGAAACAACGCGTTACCTGCAAATCGATCTCGACAATATCACTAAGTAGGCGCATGATAATGGAATCATCCCAAACCAGAATCGCTGTTTGATAAACGTAGTCTACGTATAGTGTATTACGCATTGGTTGATTCTTTGCTGAGTTACGGGCTGAGTTGTTATGGCCGAACCTTTGAAACATACATCAGCGATGTAAAAATCCTACAAATAAGATTTTTTAAATAATTTAGTAAGTCGTAAAACCAAGTATAGTTGTAAGGGAGACTATGATAAACTATTTACCTACTGCAAAATATTTCCTGTAAAAGCAAAAGTTCAATATTTGGCCGCTAATAAAAACTATTAACAACTGAATTTGAAATTAATGTAACGAACAAGTATAACACTAGGCGAGCCCGTGAAAATAGATATATAAGTCCAAGAGTAAATAACTATTATGGTAAAAGAACAAATAGACATCTCTTGCCAATTATATTTAATAAATTCGATTTTTCGAGAGGCAGAGAATTGTTAAGTAAATTCACATTGCAGAAAAAAATTTAAACTTATACTTCTTGAAAGAATGTAAATTTAGTAAATTCTACACTGGTTTTGTTAAATGTCTCATACTAGGTATACTATAGTTTTGTGATTGGGAGTGTGACCTTGCCAACAAACCGCTTTCGCAGTTTGGTGAGAAATTGTATCATGTTTTCTTGTATGCCTTGTTTGTATGAAATAAATAAAGACATTCTGTACGATTCGGCTAGCGAGTTGTAAAGCATTGGTTTAACTTTAAAGGGAATGCTTTTCTTTAATATTATAATATTTCCTAAATATTTTCTAAGTTTATTACAAATACGGTTACTACAATAAAATTTATGATCTATTTGTAAACCAGATAACTATGGTTATTGACAACATCTATGCAAGGGCACTCACAGGTGGCACTATTAAGGGAATGAAGACAGTTATGGTCATGGCCCACGACGCTTTTTAACATAGTGGTCTTAATGTAAGGCGATTTTATTAGTTTAAAACCAAACCCTCCCCGTGGTACCATTTCCCGAGGGCGTTTAAGCCTGACTGAAGCTGGTCGCGTGCTATATTAGGATCTTTGTCTGCAGCTACAAGACATGTATCGTCTGCAAATTGGTAACAGGAGCAACACAAATACAATGACGCATTTCGTTCACGTAAGACAGGAAGTGAAGAGGTCCCAGCACAAAGCCCTAAGCGGTGCCCTCTGTCACGGATCACTGTACGTCACTTTCTCGGTGATCTTCCTCTCTTGAATAATAATTCTTAGATTGTAGGTCGCATCGACTTAAATTCTTTTATCGGTGAAACCGACGCGACGGTCCACTTGTTCTTTGTTTTTTAATCCCTTATTAATAATAACATAACAATATGGTGCCTTTTTGGTCATGTTTTGCTGGGATCTATTACTCACCCGACTTACCTTTTAACCCGTGAAAATGTGTTGTTGACACAAATTTAAAAGCTAATTTGTTTGTATTCGTGTGTACACAGTGAGCAATAAAGTGCAGCCTTTTGTACGATATTTTAGATGCTACTTTGTGATTAAAAGTTTAGTGGTGTATCATTGTTAGAAATAGTAGTAATATGTACCTAGTGTACTAAACCATTCTGTAACATCCTGTAGCGATGAAGACCTGCCTGTTTCTCTGAAATTTATGACCTGCGATTTTAGTGGTTCAGCTCCGTCTATCCTTGTCTTTTGAGGCTTTTTCGATCCATCTCCTTAAAATTGATATAATAATGACACACTTATGACTATCACTAGGCACAATTAACAGCACGATGGTTTTCCACTGTAATTTTCGATAGTCTTATCGTAAGTGGAATTAGTCCCATTGGGAATTAAACATTGGACCTCCTCATCTACCGCCAATGTTGCAAGCCTTTGGCCCACCGAGGTTTTCAAATACAGTAAATCACACATGGAAATTGTAATAATTTTAACTCAATATTATATTAATACTATTAGAAGACCCTATTGTTCTATAAAAAAAAACTGCTATATTTATTTAACCTCATTGTTCACTTAATATTACAAAGAGAAGTCCAAGCAACTTTTATATTTTTATTTAACTTTTATATTGGTCTGGGATACCATCTTAGTTACTGGAAGAGCATTGCTCTAGCAGCAATTAAAGGCATATGGAACTCAAGGCCATATGGCAGTCCACACTTACACTTATCGGACTTACAGAAGTGCTTTGAGCTAGTTAGATACGGCTTTATGTCCATGTAATAAGAGTGAAAAGGACTATGTGCGTTTCGCGAGTGAGGCAACTCTTGAAATCGTCGCTTTGCTCACCAATTGTACACGAATATGTTCGTAATAACTGAAGTATTTGTCATACTTCGTATTTTTAGCTCAGTCATATTTGTTTTTGGTCAGAGTAGCGGCATTTACCCCACCATAATCCCATAGAGAAACAGACAGAAGGAAATATCTAGGTAAATAGACTTACTTTTAGGAATCTTAATCCACAAAGGGCCTTCAGTCAAACCCCTAGGTGGCGAAGTTCTTTTTAGTTCAGACGAGCCCTGTGTTATGACTCTCCAGGAACTTTTGAACGCATCCTGAAAGCATCAAAAATACGTTGTAGATGACAACAATAATCTGTTTCTTTGGTAGAAAATATTTTTCTTTGTAATATAATATCTAATAAGGATCTCCATGCGGTCTATAGTCAATAATCCGAGGCCCTATGTCATTCAGCCAATAATTCTTAATTTACGTTAACATTCCCGCAGTAGCACAATGGAAGAACTCTAGTTAAATCTAACAAAGAGTCTACATAACAATGAATAATAATAGTTACCTTTAGAGAATGATAGCACAAATACCATCAGATGACATGCATGTATCTTTAATTGTAACGGTTGGAATTGATGTTCTTTTAGATTTCTTTGTTTAGTTAACAAATAGTCTAAATATTTAATTATATACAATACTACAGTATGTTATGCCTTTAGAATGATCAAGTTAATTAATGTACTTCATATACCTCGCTCGAATTGTAATCATAACATGTAGCGTGTTTGTTGTATGGCGGAACCCAACTTTTTTGACGTCCCATTTTAATTAAGCAAACAGTGACTTCTTTACCCTGTTAGTATAGCTGGGTATAAAAAACTGTTGAAAGTGTTTGGAAATTATACTACCATAGTGCCGAAATTTCCATTTTAAGCGTGTGGTTGCAATTATCTCGAAAACTACAAATTATTATCCAAAACTACCACGGCAAGGGTTTTTCAAGAGTTTACGTAATATCACCAAAACCAATCAAAAGTATGTTTTGCACATTTAATAGTAATACGAGCTGTCAACATTAACGCGCTAGTAAATATAAGTTAATAAAATACACGAAATCGGTTGCCAGATACATTCTGCGTAGCCGTATCTTCAAGAGTGGCGTTTATGTCTCACATTTTTTCACACACTCTCACATTTAAATAAACAAGTTACCGATTCGAAAAAAAACAAAATTGCAACAATAATAGATTTGGTCGAGTCGTTAAAAAAAATAAGATGGGAGATGGAATTAACGGGCGAAGAATTATTTACCTGATATTTTTACGGGTTTTAAGGGCTTACATACCGGGTTGCAATTAATGTGTGTTTATAAGTCTGTTGTTTCATTTAAAAATTATATGCTTATACTTATAAGTGACATTTAGATTGAAATGAATAGAAATTAATAGATAAAAAATATTAGTAAATATAATAGATAACATTCAGTATTAAATTTACCATTTCATTATAGACTTCAATATTCTGTTAATTCAAATTTTGGGAGTACTTTTGAAAACCACTTTGTCGCTTTAACTGTCAATAAAAATTTTAATTGATACTGGTAAATTCTGTTATTAAGCTAAAAATACGCACATTGGTGCCATCACGCGACTCGGTTGACCTGACTTAATGTAATAGCTATTCTTAATAGTATTTGAGACAAACACTCGTTCAAGATTCGTTATACTGATTACTGAATTTGTATCACGAATAGAAGGAATATAAACTTATCCGAAAGTGTGCTTCCGAAATCCCCCCCCCCCCCACTTCCACCTGTTTTTAGCAATCAACACCCAACATGCACCAAGCACACATGGAATAATACTGTTGAACACTTAGCACTCGATAAAGTCCACAATAAACATTCATTGTAGGTTAAGAACTAGTATCAACGTTTTACATTACTTTAAACACAAAAAAAACGAGCGACGAATGCACAGGGTTCAACAATGAGGTCCTACCACTACGTTGGTGTTGGCACAAGCGGCAACAAACAACAACTACAGGATAGAGAATTTGAAATTTGATGATCACATGATTACAATATGATGGAGCCTGTTTGTCTCTATATACACAAATAATGCAAGCAGCATGCAACAATCATACGCACGTGTTCCACAAACAGTTAATGATCTTAGTAAACATAAGATATTGAAAAAGAGCACTTACCGCCATTTTCTCGGGGAAATGTTTCATGAAATCGTGAAATGTGGCGGACACAGTATCTTCGATCAAATTCGCGGCTAACAAAAGATATAAAATGACCTGTATCATTCCGATAATTGAAATGGCATATTGAAACTATCGGCGCGTGCGTTTTACGCCGACACCGACTCCTTACTGATCAACGAGATCGCGTTCGTTGTACGCTTGTAAAGCACGTCAAAATAAACGTCGTCTAATAATGAAAATATATACTTTATAAAACAATGCAATTACGACGACACCCATCATTTATTATGGGAGTTCTCTTAGTGAAGAAACACTAAATAGTGTAGAGAGTAAATTGTTTAGATCGCGGTTAAGAAATCTGTAATTGACTGATATAAGCCAGCATTGAATTAGATCAAAACAAAAATATATTTGTTTGTTTGTTTTTCTTTACTGGTATCACTTTTTGCGACATTGTTTACCTTTTGTTCTTTTGTTTCGAAGATGACTAATACATGTCTTCGAGGGTATTGTGTGGAAGAGGTATAGAGGTGTGATTATACTTTCATTTAGATGATTGCGGCAATAGGCGGATCTTTGAATTTCTTAAATTGGATTATGGTTGCACCTATTCTATTGCGTACAAGTTACAAGAGCAAGCAATTAATGTATAAACGACTCACAACTATGGTAAAAACCCTTATAAAGGCAAGAAAAGACTAAGGCTTTGACTAACTGGCTAATTTATATTAATACAGTTACTGCCGCCTGTGCTATAGGCATGCCAGCGCTGGCACTTGGCAGTCATGTCAACTTTTTTCATCAGGCACGGAAAACAGTGTTCAGAGAATTGATCGGCTGCCTATATTTCGTGACAATTGCTAGCGCTTTTGCCGCAATCTCTGCGCCAGGGGCATTGGAAAAGTATAAACGTTTAGTTTAATTCCTTAATGCAACTTATTACGGCAAATTATGCTCGAATGAAGATATAATGAATGCAATACAGTGACCGACAGAGGCGACCATCAGTACTATAACATTTTTGTGACGAAGCGGCTAATGGGTTAACTACAACCATCGTATATAACCAGAAATAGAGACGAAATAAAGGCCATCCATCCCTGGCAACGTAAATACACAAATGGTAAATGGGCCTTATATTACTTTCAAATATCAACTCTCGTTTGCACTGAAATCACAAATTAGAAAACTGAAATAGTACAGCGCCAACAACTGACCTGTGTGTACGTCTCCGTATATTCCAATAATATTCTGTATTTATTATAATAAAGATTATATCTCTAACTATGGGGGGCTGTTGCATTCGGTGGTGGAGGAAATACAAAAAAACATCTAATTAGAAAACAAACGGTAATTAAATATTAAACATGCAATTTTTCAATTTTTGTCTATTATAGCAAAGCTCAAGTTAAACTGGTCGATTTGAAGTGAAACAATAGACGACACCCGTCAATTATTTTGAATCCGGGCTGGCCAATCAGAGCGCAGTTGTCACACAAAATAGTTTTCAAACAAATTAAATCACATTTCGTCTCTATTTTTGGTTATATACTCGATGACTATAAACCATATGTAATTATTATTGATATTATTTTATGAAATAATTTCTCACACGATACGAACTCACTTGCCCGCGTGGGGACACAAGTCCTTTCATTAAGAAAGGAGGTCTGTGCCCAATAGTGGGACTATATAGACTAACTATTTTTATTATTTACGACACGAATGGACGCCATTAGAATGACATCATAAGTGGCTGTATCGACGTAATCGACATGATCCAGCACAACTGCTGGCGTGCCAATGGGAATGGTGCTAGTCGCTGTAAATCAGCTATAAATATGTGTTAATCTGTGTTTTGCAGTTCGATTTAAACGAATTAATTAGTCATCATCTCTCAAAGAGATCAAATCAAGTATCTTTATTTCGTAGGTAATCAAATTACACTTGAAACGCCACATTAATAATACCACGTCAAACTCCCCTGGGAAGAATATTTTTTTTGTATGCGTTCGTATCATATAAGTAATCATTGATTTTGTAATAAGCTTTTCTAATTAGAACATGAGCTTTAAACATTTTTTCTGATAAATATGTACAATTTCTGAAATTTTATTTAAAAAAAATGTATACAGTGCCCGACAAAAACGGGCTCAGTTTATTAAGTTGGAGCATAGGGGTCGCAAGTTTAATTTGGTTTAGGGTAATGCCTATCACTGTTTTTCGGAAATAATGTTACATTTCTAGTTTTGTAGTAATTATTAATACAAAGATCGAACACTAAGAAAAAACCGACGTCTTCTAGCAAATCGTGGCAGATGCTATGCCAACTAAGCTTAGCGGATCTCGATCCGGCCTGATCGAAGGAATTTTTTCTAAGTCTTCGATTTTTGTATTAATAATGATTGCTTGCCTTCTTGAAGTTTCTTTATGTAATGGGTAGCTTAAAAAGTCAGTTTTTGCTATTATTTGGCTTTAAACAAACTAATTACTTTTTTCTTTTAAAATTTTATAAGTAGGTGTGTATGGTCATTTAAAAAATAATATTTTAGTGCGCATTTTAAAACAGTATATTTTTTATCGAGGGACAAAACGAGGTAATAAACACCCGAGCTGGTTAACCACCCGACCTTTAGCGGGGTTGTCTATTACTCCGAGGGTTTATATAGGCTATTAGTCTCAAGGTGAAATCTTTAATTTTCACTTCGATGCGAGAAAAAGAATTATTTCAATTATTTACGCTCTACAACAAAATCACGAGCCAAAATTCTAACTGTTTTCGCGGTATTTTCTTATAACCGTCCGGTTGACGGACTACAACAAACACAACAGAACGCCACGATTAGCGGGCCTTCGAACGATTGAAGTGCTACGTCGCATCACTAAAATGGTCCATAAATATGCAAACGCACTAACGCAGGAAAATAATATGGCGCTACCGTCTATGCGGAAATGGCACAGAACTAAAACAGAGTGTAGTCTTAGAACGTAACCTTTTCGTAATGAAAATGGTCGACACACAAGTACTCTTCCATTGAATTTCCGCAGTGCAGCGATCTCTGTGTAGGTTTATTTACTTCGATGAATTATTGTAATGTTAAATTACAATTACCCTTTTTTTGTTTTTGTGATTATTCTTAAGAGTTGTTTTAGTGATAATTACATTGTTTCACTTATTGAACTTTTACCTTTTGGCACAAACTAGAATAAGTACTGGCTGTTTGATTTTGTCTAGGTCTAGCTCGAAGTAAATTAAAAACTAGGTACTTTTTATTCCCTAGCGATTTAATAATGCACTCTACTCCTGCTACGTAAAGCTATATCGATGTACTTACTTTTAGAGCATGTGAAGTGAAAATATATTTTTTAAGAATGGGCGGGAAAGTTTTAAGTTTATACGTGGGGCATAGTGAAAGTTCCTGGAACTGACCACTTGTAAAAGAAACTAAAAAAAATACGAAATTTGAAAAAGGAACTCTCTATAGTCACAGGGACACTAATATACTCATATCACGTTTTAGTTTATGAGACTGTCGTTTGTTTTTTCATTGTGGCGTCGTTTTGAAAACTGTAAGCGCCCAGACACACGAGGAGAAAGTTTTCGCGCGGCCGCCGCGCGGCGACCGCCCAGTTATCACGCCTTCATGTACATTAATGGCGAGTCTGAATTCTATTCACTAGGCAATAACATATAAATACCTCTGAATAATACAACCGCGCTACCGCCACGCGGTCGAAGACAGACTCCGTTCGGCGACCGCGTAGATAAAAGACAAGCTAGTGCCTTCCAGCTAACAGTGTTCTGGTGCTTGAATTTATCATGTAACATGGTCAATAGCTTATCAAATGTTTTTATATTCATTCTGAAATAATTTGCATATCCAGCTTCGTCTTTTCGGAGATCTTTAAATAGAGTATGAAATTCTCCAGACTCTTCCCTTTTTTTAAATAGGGTGAACCCAATATCTTCTGCGTCTCTTTTTTCTTCTTTGCATTTTTTGTACAAATAATATGCAATTACAACTTTTTAAATTTTCCTTAAACCTGAAGTCCGCTAGCAGTAATGGCCTGAAGTTGATATTTTTGCTCGTTTAGATTAAAACGTAAAAGCTAAAAAAATAGAGCGTATTTTGCCATGACAGTTCGGTCTCTGAACGCGTGCACGCGGTCGCTGGGCGGCGGCGGCCGCAGACTCCGCTCTTCGACCGCGCGGGGTGAGCGCGATGATATTAGTAAATTTCGGCCCATAATTTTGTACGATTTTGCGATGTGGCGTAAATCAACAAGTAGTCTGGGACTTCAATTGGCATGTGGTGATGAAGCCCTATGTCGTTCCTCCGTGTATTCGTGGTTCAGTGAATTTAGATGTGGACGTGATCATCTCCATGACGATGTTCGTGAGGGTCGGCCGGCGACCGCGGTTACCGAATTTAATGTTGATACCGTACGACAGCTGACTGAAACTCGCAATTAAATTACTTGTCAGCAAATTCGTGTTATGTTAGGCATTGGAATGAGCCAAGTGCAAACGACATTGCATGTGCATCTGAAGGTTCGGAAACTTTACACTCGATGGATATTGCATTATTTAACGGAATACCAGAAACGACTGCGTGTAGAGTGGTGCCATCAAATGATAATAAAGTTGAATGGAAGACAATCATTGGCTGTATATAATATCGTGTCAGGTGATGAAACCTGGGTGTACTGCATTAAACCGGAAAGAAAAATGGAGTACAGAACGAGTCGAGGATTGTACAGAACCACGTAACTATACTGAATACTCTCAGGGAAAGGAATAATGTGTTCCAGGTCACTCTGACATCGAACTGGCAAAGACTGGTACTAGGGAAGCCTTCATTGGTCCTGAGCCCTTTATTGGGATAGCACACAGCCTGGCAAAGCTCACTTTGCTGAACGAGAGTGCACACGTCTCCCGTAACGTGTGGCTCCAGACTAAGGGTCTTGAGCATTCAAAAGCCCTGAAAGCTGCCTTCAGTACCAAACACTATTGAGAAGCCTGTCACTGGACAGGAATGGCATCAGAATGCTGACAAGAGCTTTAACAGGGCATTGTGGCTTGAATAAGCACATGTCAAATATTGGACAGAGAGAAAACAGAGAATGTAGATTCTGCCACGAGGCGGGTGAAATTCCTG